GTCCAGAAGACCTATTCAATTTTTTTTCTTTTTGATTTTTTACCTGGATTACTGTACGGAGATGCATCAGGACATTAGAAAAGGCTGCAACTCTTTATTATTCAGGTCAAATGTTTTGATATTTCTCAGAAAACAAGTTAAAATAATTTTTGATGAACTTGACAAAAGGCTGAGAGGAATAAGTAAGGTTGTGGGGAAACCTCAGACACACAACTTGCACTAAGGTCAGAACATTTTGGTGTTAAGGGAAAGTTTTGCCCAACGCTATCACCACGTGGTGAGTGTTGGAATAACACTTGATCAACTTTAAGATCAACTGAGTTTTATGATGTTACACTTAATTAAGTCTGTTTCAAAGTACATAACATAACTTGAGGTGATTTTATTGACAAATAAAGAGATACAAATTCGATGATAGATTTTTTATACACAAAATATTGTTTAAATATTTGAAAATACTAAAGCTTTGTCCTTAAGTTTGTTGGGGGCTGACTCTTTTTTTTTTTCAGAGCGATCAAAACAGACAGCTTGTGAAAGACTTACAGTGGTTTTAGAAAGTGTTCACACCCTTTTTACTTTCATCTGCCTGATGCAGCAATCATTTAAATGGATGAAATTTGAAATATTACGTCTGGAGGAGACCAGGCCCCACTCATCACCTGCACAGCACCGTTCCCACAGTGATGCATGGCGGTGGCAGCAGCATGCTGTGGGTCTGTTTTATACTGCAACACTGATCAGGGTTGAATGAAACAAAATACRAAGTTATCCTCAATGTAAACCGTTTCCACTGTGATGGGACCTAAAATTGAAACAGTTTCACCTCTAAAACAATGACCCACTGACAGTCCCTATCATAACTGAACCTGCAGAGGATTATTATATATAAAAAAAGATAGAATATGCCTCAGTATCAACCCCAAAACCACTCAAGGCTCAATTTATAGATTTATAGGAACATCTGCAAGAATCTCTCCCTCTCCCTCCAGCATACTGCTCACATGCCAGAACCAGCGAGCACCAGTCTCCAAATGTGACCCTGGAGGTGCATGGGAGGCCCCCAGTGCAGGAAGGTTATCTCAGACATATCTATAAGTTTTCTCAAAGGAAAAACGTCAGAGCAGACAGAGCTTTCACATCAGTAAAKAAAAAGAAACATATTTCTTAACTTCTAACTGAAGATAGATTATATGCTCAAATCGAAATGAGAAATTGACATCTTCCTAAAATAAATGCCCAAATCATTTTTTTTTCTTTTTCTTTCCTTTTCTTTTTTTTAGGAAACACAAAATACTTAGCTAAAACGTAACTCACACCCTATAAATAAACCATTATATTAAGGGGTAAAATAAAATAGTTTGATCAACTAACGATAGAGGTGGTTTTACCAAAGGTGGTCAGCATCATGAGGGGAAAATTTATGCAAAAACATGAAGAAAGTCTGAATACTCACATGAACTTTGACAGTTTCATGAGTTTCAATGATAAAACACATATTTTTTTAATAAACTGATCCAATTATTTTTTTAATGAAAAAACAATTACAGTAAATGTTTTGGAAAATCTTTTGGGAAAAATGACCAAACTCACCAGCCTGTTTAGAATACAAAACCTGCAACAGATGATCCCACGGTGGTGACGCCCAACGACTCATCGGGTCCCCACATAACTTCTATAATTCCAGGGTTTGATGTGTATTCTCTACTCAGAAACAATTCACATAAAGGCTGATTTTTTACGACTGATCAAACCTATCTTTTTGTCGACCCTAGGACCTTCTCAAAAGACAACAGGAGTGGGTTTCGCAGGCTTCCTGTTGCCAAAAGAAGATTCTCATGACTTCAATTACTGGCAGGAATCTCTGAACAAGTGTGAGCTGTTCTCTCAGACATTTGCGCTGCAGACTGACGACAAGCTAACAGTAATTATAAAGACATATTTTTTATTATTATTTTGTTTATAGACTATGAAATAATGTTGCTGTCTTTTGCTGTAGTTTTGTTTGAATCTCCTTGTAATGATTTTTCATTCRGGGTGTTGCTAAATTCAATTATGAWTAAAGAAGAGTCACTTTCAAACATCTTCCTCTTCTATTTTTTGAAGTCACAATCAGTGTTGTGTTGTAAGTTTCACTGTTACAGAAGTCAAACCCCTTCTGTTACAACAGAAGATTTAAAGGGCTTTTAGATGTCCCAAAACGTTTTAAAACCACTAGTGAGACTCTTCAGACTTTCAAGCTGCTCTTCTCTGAAGTTGGTGCCACATAAATGGACTGAAATGAATTTAAATAATCTTCTTTTTTTAATCAAAGGCGAGCTGTTCTTTTATGGTGTGATCAGAATGACTGGTCACCCTTTTATTTTCCTTTTGTGACAATAAATGTGTCTGCTGCCATCTCCTGGCTTAAATCCAGGTTTGCATGAACCCAAAGAAAAACGAATCACTTTATTTTATTTACATTATTCTTAGAAAAAAAAAGCATGGAAACACTGTAAAGATGTAAAAGTTAAAATGCGAAAAGTAGAGCTCAAATACCAAATGATAGCATTGTGAGCAACATAAAGTGTTTTTATGTGTTTATTATTTATGTTTAAAATCTAACTAACTCAGTTTACTTATTTTATATAGTCATTTTGCGTACATAATCTAGCGTTCTTTATATTTGAAACTTATTAAATGAAAAATAAAGCTCCGCCTTTTCCGCCTAGCGCACTCGGCCGCGTTCTGCCTTGAAAAGATCTAATTGGTTACTGTAAGCACACGTGACCGCTGACAAGCTTAGCCGGCCAATGAGAAAAAGCGTTTTCAGTCCCTCCCTCTATGGGCTAAACGTCAACAAATGTTAGCTTGTCAGTGTAGTTTTCAAGGTTGTTAAAGTTAGCTTTAGCTCAAAAGTATTTATTTTCTGTGTGTGTGTTTTTTTTTGGCAACGCAGATTGAAGCTATTACATAATTGCTTTCGGTTTTATTTCAATTCATTTAAATGGTTTTAACCGACACCCCAGGGTTTCCTGTAAACCGGCAAGCTAACAGGAGCTAATCATTTTTCTAATGGTTTTGATTCTTTTAAAGGTTAATTCTTCTCAACTCATCACTCGTTGGTGTCATACTTCTTTTATCGCTTACTCTATAAGCGATAAGGAAAGTCGCGCTTCTTCGTTGGATCTTTTCAGTTTACTGTCTGCTCCTCTTCTGCTTCAACATGACTGATGTTTGGCAGGAATGCATGGAGTTTAGTGTAGAGATCACCAAACGGGCAGGGAAGGTAAGGAGACACGATTTAAGGAGGCTATTTTTGATTCATTCTGATCCGGAAACCCGGATTAACTTTGTGCACCTTCTTTACCAGGAAGTCTTTAACACATCAAATCAAGGGGCTAAACCCAAATAGCTCTGAATACATGCATGAAAGAGATCTTTTGTTTGCTTCAAAGAGAAATAGTCACAATATAAATGCTTATTTGTTTGTTTATTCCAAATAAGTATTTATGTTTAAATGCTGTTTTGAATAATCAGCATGGAAAGTTATTATCAGATGTCACAAATATTAAATAGATGTCAACAAAAGTAAAATAGTGTGTGTTTACTAACAGGTGTCTGACTTGTGAGGAGTATCCTTATTTAGAGATGAGGCTGAAATAAGTCAAAAAGTTTTAACGGCGTGTGACCAGAACACACGTCATTTCTTAAACGGAGCCACATATGTAGTTAGCTGTTGTTCTGTTTCTGTCAGATGATCCGCGAGGCGCTCCAGAAGGACATAGCCATCATGCAGAAGAGCTCTCCGGTTGACCTGGTGACCGAGACGGACCAGAAAGTGGAGCAGCTCATTATTTCTTCCATAAAGGAAAAGTACCCCACACACAGGTACTCAGCTTCACTGGCCAACCAGAGCATTACAGAACACAACATGTGCTCGGGTAATACCAGGCACCACACTCTTAAACACATTCATAACTGCCCTGCTTTTCATTGGCTTTTATGTATTTTAATGAGTGTTTATGTTATGACAGCTAAATGAGAGCACTGCTGAAACAAAGCCAGATTTGAACATCGTTTAGACTATTTTGATAAACCAAAAGTAGACACGAAAATATCTACACGATAATGCATCACAAAATACTCACTTTGGGAACGCGCATTAGTAACTGTGAAAAGGTAAATAAGAAGAAATGCATGCCGACTTAGTGGTAAAGCTGAAAAAGAGTTGTTTTGTCTAGTCTAAGAAAAATACTCTTCTCTTTTCAGGATTGTTTTGTGCAGAACAGTTTTACTTTACTTGGCTTATGTTTTGTGTTTGCAGACGCTCTGTAGCTTAGGGTTAGGCAACATCATTTTGTTTGCAGTTAATCACGAGGGGAAAAACTTTGAATAATTAGTATTTGCCACTTCGCAATTCCTGCAATTAGTGCCACATTATGGCGGATTTTATTTGTGCAACACACCATCACTATCAGGCGTGCATGTGAACCCAATGGTGGAAGRCATCACAGAATGATAACCTTAACTCTACAAACCGGTTGGACATAAACCRGAGTACAAGGAAGGCCAGAAAATATGGCTACATGCAAATGCACTCGTCATCCAATAATTATCATATTAATCATTATCAGCTAAACTC